AGTTATGAATCTGGTGGTCTTAACATATATATATCCTGGTTGTACAGTTTTTAACTGTTATTTGTTTTAATTTGTTTTACATTGTTATTTGTATATGTCTTTTGGTGTTGTTCAGTTGTATGTTGTGGAAGAGCACTTTATTTTGTTGTTCTCAGGTTTCTGAGTACAATGACAATAAATTTATCTAAAAATCTAAAAGCTAGGGCCCGGGGACACACAAGAAAAGATACACAAACTACTAAACATACAGCATATAACACCCATTGCCACAATGAATAAAAATGAATAAAAGCCCAGCCAAATTACTAATGGGGAGGATCCCAAGACAGACTACACCCTACATATAACCCAGAAAGACCAGTAGACTCCTCCAGTAAATGCTGTACATTCCAAACAGGGGACCTAATATCCGCAAAAAATCTTACAGGGGAACCCTTGTGGATACCGGCAAAAGTGACCCAAATAACCAGGCCCTGTTCTTACAGGGTAGATACGACAGATGGCAGGAGCTGGAAGAGACACATAGACCAGCTCAGAACGAGAGCAACGAGGGGTGACACAGACAGGATCACAGAAGAGGGGGAGACCCCTCACATAAACAGAACACAACCGGAGACGAAGGGGGAGACCCCTCAAACAGACACAACACAAGTAGAGAGAGAGGGGGAGACCCTCCATGAACAAGAACACTGATAGAACAAACCCTAACAACTAAAAACACACAACCCCCACTAATAAGAGTAGCCCCAGTTGGAGAGCACAGGCACGTACCTGAAACTGCAGAAGAAGGTAGCATAGGGAGGCAGGAACAGGTCTAGAAAGACAGCAGGAAAGCGGCCCCTGGTGGGAGCAGCATAGGCAACTCAACCTTCCAGGAGGTTCCAAGGAGAAAGATGGGAGGAACAATAGATCTACCCGAACAGTCCAGAGACCAAACTGCGACTGAGCTGCGCAGGTCCAGTTGCACCCATAGAAGCCCCGCCTACCTGTGTGATTATGTACAGTAGGCGAAGACGGGATTGGGTGGACTGGACCAAGTGGGGAGGGGTGTTATGTATTAGCATACTTACCTGTGATTGGTTGGTCTGTGGCGGCGGGAAATTCTACTAGCCATCACTGGCCACAGCCGTGAGCAGCCTGACTGTAAAAGGGCTGCTACGGTTTCTTCCGCATTTCAGATCTAAACAGAAATAAAGAAAACTGGTTACTACTCTGGCTCCAAGAGTCTCATTCCCGTGATCTAACAATACTGTACAAGTGTTTTGTGGGCCACAAATTGCTGTATACGCTTAGCAACTGCATCTCTGCAGAATCTGCATAATTGCCTTGTGGAGACAGAATATCAGGCTGTTTGGCTAAAACTGTATTGTGGGTTTGAGGAGTGAGCTTCACCAATGCAGTGAAATGTTAATATATCATACTTGGATTATTGACCTAAATTGAACAAAGCTTTGTCTCTTGCTAATAAGGTAATCAAATTATGATACATGTCCCAGCCATGTATAATTTCACATCTCACATCCATCTGCTTCCTCCATTTGCCTATAACTACTTTTGAGCAGAGCTTGATTTATAATGGATATAATATTTTATAGTATCCATAACAGAACAAATAGTCTGGACTGAAATTATCATCAATCATGACCTGCTCTTTCATTTGGACAACATATCTTACTTATAAGAGCCAGTTATGGCACCAGGCTAGAGACCAGGAGAACAAGAGTTTTACTTTTGCCTTAGGGGGGAAAAAAGCCAAGTGACTTGGGCCAATTATAGGTAGTCCTAGACTTACAACAGTTTATTTAGTGACCATTCAAAGTTACAATTGCACTAAAAAAAGTGACTTAAAACTGTTTTTCACACTTACGTCTGTTGCAGCATCCCATGATCATGTGATCAAAATTCAGACACTTGGCAACTGACTCATATTTATGATGGGTGCACTGTCCCAGGGTCATGCCATCACCTTTTGTGACCTTCTTACCAGCAAAGTCAATGGGGAAGCCAGATTCACTTAACAACCGTGTTACTAATCTAACAACTGCAGTGATTCACTTAACAAGTGTAGCAAGAAAGTTCATAAAATAGGACAACATTTACTTAAATGTTTCACTTAGCAACAAAAATGTTGGGCTCAATTGTGGTCATAAGTTGAGGACCACACTCCATTGAAGAATGCAATGGCAAACCACTTCTGAAAATGCTACCAAGAAAATGCATTAGTACCAGCAGTTGACACTGAATTGACAGCACAAACACATCCCAACTTTAACTTAGGATCTCAACTAGCATATATGGAATTCCCCCCTCTTGTTTTCCTGCACAACAGATATGTTGGGCTGAGAGAGTGGACCAAAGTGACTCAAGAAATTTCCATGGTTGATCATGAACTAGAATGTGGGTCTCCTCACTACCAGTCTGGGGGTATACCAGCATTCTCATCGACGCTGCGACGAGAGTCCAGGAATGGGTTAAGGTCCTCCTTCTGATGTCATCAAGCTGAGTCTGCCACTATATAATGGCCCTGGCTGGCCTGCCCATCTTTTGGCTCAGCTTCTTGTCTAAGAGCTAGTCTCTGGAAGGATTGCTTTAACAGAATTAAGAGAAGGTTTGAAAAGTAAAATACCAGCAGAGAAGTTGTTGCAAAGAGAAAAGCGGGGATCCGTTCTCCTGCAGCGTTGAGGTTTTGGCGCAGCCTCATGAAGGGCTGCAGATCCAGGAGCCTTCTTAAAAGCCTTCCATGCAGCTCCAGCGATTGCGCAGATCGCTGCCGCCGCCGCCACCTGAACCACTCCACAGCTGACTTCTGAACTTCATTCTACCGCTTCTCAGCTGTTTTGTTGCAATTTGATCGCTCGGGGCCTGGTAAGAGCCTATTGAGCGAAGGAGGTAATGGAGCCATTCTGGAGTTCCTCCATGTGGCGGGCGGCCATTTTGAATCAACCAGTGGCCATTTTGTTGGGGGGAAAATGCTTTCTCAGTGCCTCACAGTTTTTAACTTGCTTGGCTCATTGCATTAGACAGCACCTCACGGGGGAAGCTCACAGCACCCTTGGTATCTGTGCTGTTTGCAATATGGAAAGCGAAGTGCCCCAGCCTACTACCAAAGAATTGGAACAGCCCCAAGAGGCACTAGCCCCTTTGAAAAAGAGGAAAAGACAGAGAGCTCCTTCTACCAGCAGAGAAGTTGCTGCAAAGATCAAAGCCAAAGCCCTAGCTCCCCGAAAGTCTTCAAAAGCTGAGCTTAGGGCTAAGAAGAAAAGCTATGTTGATCTTGAAAAACAGTTTGAAAAAAGGTTAGCACAAATGCAAGCCCAGATCAATCAAGACGCTCACTCTGGGGAAGTGCATATTAGCCCTGAGATTCCTTCTAAGTGAGGGGAATCTTCTTCCAGTCACATGTTAGCATGGTCCCCTGAGAGAGTGGAGGAAGAATCCCAGGATTTAAGCAGGTCAGGGCCTTCCTTTACACAGGCTACATGGGGACCTGGCCCTTCCTTCCCGGGTGGTCAAGGGGTTCAGGGTGGATTCAGGCCTAGGCCTGAAGCAACATACACCCCCACTGCTGCAAGCTTGTGCTCAGAGAACAGGCCTGAAGATCTCAGGGAAGTAGTCATGGTAGCTATTAGACAGGGCCTAGCAGAAGGATTCAAACATTTCCTTCACCCTCAAGGAGGGGGCCCAGCCTTGGTAACCCATGGGCTTCCACAAGGGGTCCCCCAGTATCAAAAGGGTGTGCCTAGACATCGCTTCTTCTCTCAGCCCACCCACTCGGAGTGGAGGGAGGAAGAGTAGGATATTTATTCCAAATCCTCTGACCATAGCCATTCTGGTCACTCGGAAGAGGAGGAAGGGGAATTTATAGATCCCAATATGTCTGAGGAGGAGGACCTCAGAATTGATCAGCCCCCCGTTGCGCGAGTGTTTAAACTTTCATTATTGAAGCCCTTGTTACACAAGGCCTTGGTCACTGCGCAACTCAAGCCTGAGGAGGTGGCTCCTGAACCACAAGCATCCACTTCTGCCCACTCTGATTCCTTGTTTTTCAAGCCAGTGGTGCAGGCGGAGGTTCTCCCCTCCCCTCCCCCTTCTCTTTCTTGATTTAGTAAAGGAACAATGCATCTCCCCAGGGGTGGGACTTTGCCCATCTGTTCATGACAGATGATTCTACAATGTGGGACCATCCCTGGCCAGGGCCCTGGTTGTGCTGTCAGTAGATGCTCCGGTGGTGGCTTCACCATCGCCGTTTATACAGCACTACCGCTCTGGACTCCTTTGCTTCAGCCCAGGCATCGTTTGGATGGAGGATACTTCAGCAGGTGGTTCCACAGTCAGAGTGACTGACCAGCCATGGGCCTTCCCATGGACATGAAGGCTTTGGTATGTCCCATTCCTGGACTCTCATCACAATGTCGATCAGAATGGGCGTTGGTATAATTACCTGAAAATGCCCTTTCTATCTACAATGCAAGAGAGTCCAGCTCCACCCTGTACGTCTGGTCATGATGGTTGGGGAAGGGGGTATGTTAATTTCTTCTTTATCTTCCAGAGACACATTATGTCTGTCAAGTATCTTTGCCTAAAAGATGGGCGGGCCAGCCAGGGGCTGGGGTTTTTATAGTGGCAGATTCAGATTGATGACATCAGAAGGAGGACCTTAACCCATTCCTGGACTCTCTTGCAGTGTAGATAGAAAGGGCGTTCTCAGGTAATTATACCAACACCCATTTCATTTCTCAGAAGACCTGCAAGCTAGATGGATTCTGTATTGAGATTTGAGTGTCTTTCCTTTTGATTGCAAGGCTATCTGTAGAAAATCACCCTACATAATATTTTATGCTCTCTGGGAGTAAAGGGTTGAAAATATTCGGTGCACATCAGTTTTTGATGCTGTTTTCAAATTATGTCTTGCATAAATCCTTTGGCTATTAATGAAATAACAAATTCATATATTTCAAGGTATTGTTGTGAACCTTCTGGATTTTTCTTTTCTTTTCTAGAAAACTAAAGAATCAGTTATTGGAAGTGAAACATAAAGGTGGACGGCATCACCAGCAAGATAACAGCAGGGTTTGCACTTCCTGTCAGAAAAATTTGGGCTTAATTTTTGACAGAGGTGACCACTGCCAAATATGTGGCCTGAGAGTTTGTAACAAATGTCATGTTTTAGGAACTGATGGCAATTGGAAGTGCTCAGCGTGTGATAAAATTGCGTAAGTCTTGTTTTCTAATACCAGATTCATTTTCCTGATCTCTTACTTTTGTCAAAAAATATAATTATCAATAATAGGTAGGAATGATAGGAAGAGTAAAGACATTTGGGGCTTAATTTGTTGAACCAAGACATTCATCTGAGGCCAGCCTTTTCCTTGTTAACAGGGCACTGAAGTGAAAAATGTCCAGTGAGTTGCTAATAAACATTACCTTGCTTTAAGGACTCAAGAATTGTTGTGGGCATGATGACTCAGAACCTCTTACAGACTGCAGTGGTAATACTGAGAATATTTGGTTATCTGTAAGAATACCTTGTACAATAGCATAATGGCTCCCGGCACCAGGAAAAAGGTCAAAGGAAAAGCAAAGCATGTCATGCATTCTTAGTGAATTTAGATGACATGTGAATGGTTGATCTCTAGAATAAAAAGCTTCTGAAAGTCTGGAGTGTGCAGAAATAAAATTATGTTTTGATGTTATCTATGTATTATTAGTGTTATTGTATATTTTAATATAAAACAACGGAAACACTTTTAAATATTTTTAACAGAACACGAAGAGAATGACAAAAGAATTAGTAGAGCACATTATCAAAGATCAAGTCTCACTTATAACATACACACAAAAAAGATTCCCTGCAGGGAGGAGAAATTCTCCCATATATTGCAGGAACAGACCTCAAATCTGGAAAAAACGCCAATGAATGCCAACTTTCTGAGCTTTTCAGAATGCTGGCATTCACCAGCATTGCCCCTCCCTGCTGGAAGGCTCAGAAGATCCAGGCTTAAGAACCCACACAGTCCGTTAAAGCTGCAACTGGAGAGATGGGATTGTGGACATTAAATGAAGCATTCAAGTGGCTCCTCATTCAGTGACCAAGATTTCAGGCCCTTATGTGGTCATATATGGAGGACTACATTTAAACTGCATTCACCCTCTGCTCCCTGTTTTGTACACAGTTGGGTTGTATCCAGTTCAATTTTGCGAAGCAATAACTGTCAATGCAAACGAGGCATCTGTCTCTGAAGTGGGAAAGAATCTGTATCCTTGGAAAAGCTCTTAAGCTCCAAGTATGCCCTTACAGGTGTACATCCATACATGTACAGGGCAGTTCCAAAGAAATGTTTCTTCACGCACATGCAGAGAATTAGGGATACTTTCCAAAGCAGCTGCTTCATTGTTTTGAGGAAGAAACATTTCAGGAATTAACAGAAGATGAAGTGTCCCTTTCAGAGGTTTTGCACAGTCCTAAAATGCTAGCTTAGTGAAATAAACTCCCTCCATTTAGTGTAAGCAATAGCAGGTTAAGTGAAGGTAATACCAAAGTTTAAATATCACAATGATTCTGGATATTTTTATCCTACAGCTATAAAAGGTTTCTAGATTGAGATCTTTATTAAGTCTGCTTTGTTTATTGCTACAAATAAACAGCTTAAGGTTTTATTTTTACTTTGTATGCAAACAAATTGAAATGCTGGCTTTTCACACTCTCCCCCTATTTACTAAATAAACTTAATAAATAAATACTAGAGAGTTTCCTTGTTTCATAAAAATACATGAGAGTAGGCTTGGATTGATTAGTCATAATTATTCAGGAATATATATTACATGCTTTATAGTAACCATAGCCACAAATATTAATCTCCCTATAGTGTTTTCTTGGAAGGATTCTTCTTAAATCAAGAGTGGCCAATTGGTTATTTCAGGGTAGTCATCTACCTGAGGCTGATAAAGTCAACATGATGACTCTGACCACAACTCACTGCTTTTTATTTTCTTGGGTCACTTGTGATTCTTGGTCTAATTCCAAAAACTCACTGCAAGGAATCAGATCTCTCTGGAAAGATCTCCTTTCTTTTACAGCCTGGTGCATGGGAGGGAGGGAAGATTTTAAAAGAAAAAAATGTCACCCATTCATTAGCTGATTTGCAGCAATCATTTTGGGGGGGGATTTCCCACCTCTATTCAGAGAATAATTTCCAGCTTCATAAGAATCTTTTAATAACATTGTATGATGAGTTTTACAAAAATCCTGAATGGAACAGTTTAATTTTAATGAATTTATTTGGCTACTTGTTCAGACTAACAGGACCCCTTGCAGTCACAAATTTGATTAACCACTTCATCTTAACTTAGCTTAAATAACCCATTAGTTTGCAAATGGGTGTGGATCCTCCTGGAACTGTTGAAAGATTGTGTTTCAATAGTTCCAAAAAGGCTCCAAACCAATTTGAACCACTCAAGTGACCCTGATGGACACAGATAATCCTCCAGATGACCTTAACTACCTGGTAAAAGAATGCAAATGACTAGCTATTTGCAAGGAGTATAAATCCTTCCATTCCCCACCATCCAGTCAGAGCTGAAGAAGCTTGTTGGATGAGAAGTGAAATGTTTTCAAAGAAAAAACAGAAAGTCCAGTTGCCTCCTGAAAAAAAAAGCACCTTTGGGACAACCATGACGTGGATGACTGAGAATCTCCATAAACATTCAGCAAAATTTTTCTTGGTGTGAGCATGAGGCTGTTAGGTTAAAGATGTAGAGCTAAACTTTTTTTTATATTTATATTTATGTTGATCTCTTTCCAATCTTAAGGTTTATACTTTTTGGAAGCCTAGCAGAGGGGAATAATTGGATGAAATATGGTTAGAATAAAGAACTAAAGTGTTAAGCTTTCAATCTTTGTCAAGTGCAAAGGATGAGGAACATATGTTAAGTTGCAGCACAGAAGATTTATTGAAGCCAATAAACAAGAATCTAGTCAACTAGCAGTTAGTACTAAAAAGGATCAAAGGAATTCAAGGGGGGGGGGGCTAGACTTGGATCTTTGGTAGCAGTATAAAGACTCTAGAAAATGACAATATGTTTAAGTCAGCCCCCAACTCCGCCTATTCTTCTACATCTTTTCCTTTATTTATTCTAAGTTTTAATTGCATATAATTTGCATATAGTTAACAGGTATTAATGACCTCTTAAAGTGGACTTGAAACATTGTAGTTTAGTGTAATGGATGGCACACATTTTTGGTGTATTGTTTTGAAAAATTGGATTTTTTTTGTTTTAGTAATTTCTAAAACAATACTCACAAATGGGTGAGATAACCAGGGGACTAAGTGGCTATCCTAACAGTGAGAACAATTAGCCAGGCTTGGCTTCAGAAGTTGTGGGTGCTCCGTCACTAGAGGCTTTTAAGAAGAGACTAGACAGTAACTTCTCTGAAATGGTATAGGATCTCCTGTTTGAGCAGGGGGCTGGACTAGGTCTAGGAGACTTCCAAAGTCCCTTCAAACTCTGTTATTCTGTTAATGGCAACTAATAGTTACAGTGACTTCACTGTTTTCTTTTTTAATACAGGCAGCTTAGGGTAGTAACAGGTGAATGGTTCTTTGAAGAGCGAGCAAAACGCTTCAAGCAGTCCAAGCTCCTTGGAACTGATATTGTTCGGCAGTCTATTCTTTGCAAAGCTCCAGGTAAAAAACAGGAAAGCAAAGTATGTACTTCTAAATAAACATATGGGGGATTTGCTGAGCTACAGGCTCCCAACAGCTCCAGCTTGTATGGCAGTGGGAAATTGTATATGGGGAGAATAGTTGAGCAACTTTGGAGGACCACAGCTGCCCCAAACTTTTATTGCAACATAATTAATTGAGAGAGTTCTAAATATATTATCAGTACAATGCACTACAATGAATGCTAGTCTCTTATCCCATCAGTTTATTGGTAAAAATAAGATGCTTCAAGCCAAATACTGTATAACATTGCAAATGTAGACCTGGGAAGGTATTTATGACATTTTGGAAAACTGTTGCCAGTCAAAGCAAATTATATAGTCAAGCTTAATATAGAATAAGCTAATTTTCTATATTGCATGGTAAGACACTTGATGTCATTTACACAGGAAAATTTCACTTTATAAGGTTATCCATACAATATAGTTTCTTATATACATTGCAGTATCCTTACCCAATCTGATGTGTTGAAGATGTGTTGGACTATAATTCCCAACTGGAATTGGCTGGGGATTCTGCAAGGTGTAATTCTAATGTATCTGGAAGGCATCAGATTGAGTAGGGCTGCATTAGAGCTATTGGTACCAAAAATAGATATTTATCAATAATTATATTCTTCCTGTGTTACATGAAATTTGCTTAACTGCTCTTTGATTTCTGATAAACTTTTGAGTCCAGCACAACATACTTGTTAATAATGTTTAAAGCTTAAATAGCTTGGGATTAATATTATGAAAAAATATATCCTATTATATATTCCTACTTACTCTCTGCTTCTTTCTGTCCTTCTATTGATAGACAATAGGTGTATAGGTGAAAGGATTTTCTGGGGAATAGATCAATACCTAAACTCTATAGCTCTCTTGCAATTATCCCACCAGCACCCCCTCGTTTATGTTAGTTGGTCAAAGTATTACAGCATATATAAAACAGAAACATGGTATATACCTATCTCTGTACCTAATAAAAACATATCAAATTGTGAATGTTCTTACCTTCAGTGGTCCCAGTTTATACAGTGAATATATAACATTTGTGAAATAACTGACTTAATATTTTTCTTCAGTTTGTAGGCATTTTGTTAACATAATATGTTTCTTTCATTTTAAGATTCTTCCCCTGAATTCTTGGAAGGCAGATCCAAAGATCATTCTCCAAAAACCTTAGAGGATACACCAAAGCAAAATATATTCACTTCATTTACAAGTGGAACAAAATTAGTTCTCACTAGGCCCAGGAAAATAGGGTAAAGTATCCTTTCATCAAATGGTAAAATATCCCTATATTTCCAAAATACAAAGTATTTTTTTTATTATGAATGAAAAATTGTTACAAAATCTTAAGTATAGTTCAGTTATAAGCATTTAAAACTTTTCCATAAAAAATTATAGCCATCTTAATTTTATTTACATGATTGAAAGTAAAATTTTACTTAAAAAGGGATTTCAGTAACATAAACACTTTTTCTCATCTAGTATTTCTCACTTTTCTCATATAAACTCTTCAGTTTACAAATAGTTTCTTCCAATTGGCTGATACACAGGTTTTGAAGTTGACTCTGGAAAAAATATTGACTTTGGAAAATATTAATTTTATTCTTCCATGTTGGCAATAATGGTCTTACTTATACTGAGATAAGTGCAATTAAATCTTGAAATCATAGGTAGCAAGAAAAATTAACTATGAGAGCAGAAATATAGATACTTTAAGAAGCTGTAAAGAAAATGGACCTTGGGACATTTTGTGCACTTATGATCTTTCACTCAATATTATATTAAGAGTTTGAGTAAAGCATTTATACTATACAGAAAAAAATATAATGTATATAATTTCCAATTTAGTACTGATCAGAAATTCAGTGGGATTTTTAATTTAATTCTTTTGGAGGACAATCAGACTGGGAAAGGCTATACAGATCATTATTGATTTAAGAACAAGCAAAGAAATACATAAATAATAGTACTGCATTTTGTTTCACCACCATATTGTTTATGTTTATATCTATGTTCAACAGAAAGGTTCTTAAGGCAGTTACTAAAGAAGCTGGAAATATGAAAGCAGAAGATGGTAAAAGCATTAGCACAGATTCTGATGTACAATGTGATCACAGTGCCAGCCAGTAAGATAAAATAGTAACATTAATGTTTCATCTGTTGTTTAGAATTAATACAATTATTGTAAATTTTGTTAAAATTAAAAACATACAGTAATCAAGAGGAAATAAAAGTAGGGAAACCCAAATGCAGAAGTTCACAGTATAATCATCATAAAAGAAATAAAAATCTCAAAGTAGCATTAGTTTGGTTCTATGTAACAAAGTCTCTTATGTCAGTTTAAGACTTTAGAGCAGGGGTGTCAAACAAGGCCTATGGGCTGGATCTGGCCCACAGGGCCACCCTGGAAACAACGAAGGACTGGCCCACGGTGTTTCTGTCAGAAAAAATGGAGTTTGGGAGGGCCACACCCTCCCGAGCTCCGTTTTTGCTGGCAGAGGTTGCAGGAGCTATCGCAGTTGAAAATAGAGCTCAGGAGCCCATTTTCGCTGGCAGAGCACTTGGGCCAACACAGGTGCCCTGACATGAGTGGCGTTGAGATGGCCATGCCCATACTGGCCACGCCCACCCTGGCCCCCTGAGGTCAAACACAACCTTGATGTGGCCCTCAATGTTTGACCCCCCTGCTTTAGAGCATAGAATTAGAAGAATTTTCTGCTCACATCACTAGATTACTGGTGAGCTACATATGCAGAATTCCAGTCATTTAATCCCTTTATCTTCTCACATGCAGTCCAAGGCCTTTTTAGAATTTTCCTGCTCTTTACAGAGTAGATTTCAGTGGTACTTTCGGCATTAGTAAAAAAAAAAAAAAAAAGCTCTGAAAATTCCATTTCACATGCGGAGTGTGGCCATTGGATATAACCTGTAATCAGGGATGGGATGCTACCGGTTCTGCCCAGTTCTATAGAATCGGTAGCTCTGAAGAGCAGCAGACACAGAACCGGTTCTGTGTCTGCTGCTGTTTGGCCCACCCACCCGCCCAGGCTGTTACCTGACCTTTATTTCCTGCTTTTCAACTACAGGTGCTTTGCGCAGCACAGCTGAGGTTGAAAAAGCAGTAAAAAAGTGGTTTTTCAAACATTGTGCACCCGCGCACAGCGCTTATCAGCTGTCCAGGAGGCACAGCTGAAGGTGTAGTACACGCGTGCACAGTGTGCGCAAAATGTAATCACCAGTTGAATCCCACCCCTGCCTGTAATGTATGAAGTTGAATCCCACCCCTGCCTGTAATGTCTATAAGCCAAAAGGCAGGGAAATAAGGGAGGCAACTCATTAATAAATTCAACATTTCCTTTTATCTATATATTTAACATACTTGTAAAAGGCAAGTCAGAAAACATGTAGGGGAAAGGTAAAAATGAGTTGCCAGATTGTATCACTACTTTAGCTATTTCTCTTACAGTTTTTCATTGTTGCAAAGAATCACAACACTAACTATTCTGTTTTTCATAATAGCTAATCAAAATATAAAAGAACAGGGTGGCCACACAAATGTGCAATCCCAACATTTTTTGTACCATAAAGAGAAAGATTTAGAGAATAAAATGACATTTTAGTTAAAAATATCAGTTAAGATCAGGTGTGGGCTTCAAAATTTTTAGCAAAGGGTTTTCTGTTTGGTTGCTGGGTGGGTGTGGCCATGGTGGGCATGGCCTAGTCAGCCTCCTGCACTATGGGGGGGGGGCATTTTTTGCTTTCCCTGCATTCCGGATGTTTTCCTTGAGTCTCCGGGAAGGCAAAAACGGCCTCCCCGAGCTCCGGAGGCTCTCTGGAAGCTGGAAACAGGCTCATTTCTGGGCTTTCTGAACTTCTGGGAGGTCCAGTTTTCACCCTCCCTGAGCCTCTGTGTGTGCCCTGCACTTACCTACATCGAAAACGGACTGCCTGGGGACTCCTGGGAGGGCTGGGTGGGGCCAGCCAGGAGTGGGATTTGAAGGTTCTCTGAACTGCCCAGAATCTTAGCTAGGGGCTCTCTTGAATCTCTGCGAAACCTCAGCAGCCCACCCCTGTTTAAGATGAAAAAACTTCTACATTTTATAATGTTTTACTCTTATTGTATATATTTTGTTGCATTGTTTTGTTCTTTTTAACATTGAAAGCTGCAAGCAGAATCACCTTGTGTGGTTGAGCTGGGTGGGAAATAAATGTAATAAATAAATAAACATAAAGCAAAGGTATCATTAGTTTCCTGTGCAATGAAAATGACATTTTTAAAGTATCAGCTTACAAAATCCAAGTATAGAATCATATTAATACACAGGCCTGTGTTAATTATTGAGTAAAAGAACAGTAGACAAATTTCTGTGAAATGTCACAAGAATCCAAACTGGGCATGAACTGTAAAGCAGATCAAGTTGTGAATCATTTGTTTGACTAAATTGGGCACATTGGGACATTTGTCCTCCTGGTGAAAAGACAGATAGAGGTATTTGGAGCAGCTAAATAGCATATGACTAAGGTTTCGGATTCTTTGGAATGTGACTGTTGCGGGCAATTCCACAAGCAGTGTCAGAACAACTTAGCCCACATACTAAACTACTACATAATGGATTATATCCAAAGTCTGTTAATCAGCTATAATAAATGCTAGATGTTTATATGGGGGAAATGGAAAAATGTAATGGCATTGCCATAGTTTAGGTCCATTTGCATCACTGACAGAGTAGTGAAAATGAATATAAAATGCCGGGCAAGAAGAAATCAATAAAGAATGTTGAATACCTTCCTGATTGAAGAAACTAATAAACATTATAAAGCATCTTCTTTAATTAAGCTTTTTGTAAATATATATCAAGTCTTCTCTCAAGAAGCAATTAAATTGATTTGTATTTTAAAACTTTTGAAGGCAGTAACTTCTTGCTAAAGTAGAAGGTAGGTATTCAACTGATCCTAGACAATTCCCTGACAAAATTACCTATTAGATCCCACTGAATAGCTAAGTTTAAAAGCTAAAAATTAGAATGGTTTTGTAACTTTCCCAATCCCTGGTCACCACCATACTAAGGCACTCCCAGAAAGTCACCCAGAACTCCCAAGTTTTTTTACAAGTGTCAATTATGTGACTTTAGAAACTTATTTTTATTTATTTCAATTTAATTTAATTTTTATTTTTTGCTAACCATGGATACTGCACTTTGAAACATATGTAAGATGCTAGATTGCAAATTTTAATGAGCTTGTTCTCTTTTATTTTAGATATAAGTAGATCAGCAAAATGGTATTAGGACTGCTATCCAGGCGGTGGAATATTAAAATGTCCTTATACTACTAAAGTATTTGCCTGAGATTCGTATTACTGATGGAACATCATTTCTTTTTTAAAAATATTTTTATTATATTTTTTAAAAAAATATACAATCCATATTGTATATTTTTAATGAGTTGGTTCTGGGTATCATTCATATTAATCCAATTCACAATAACAGTATTAGTAACCTATCACATTATCAAATTTAAGTAATCCTCCTTATATTGTTCAAACATACATAAACAAAAAATGCCTAACTCCTCATCTTTGTTTTTATCTTCATCTATATCTTTCTTGTTCAATCTAAACATTTCTCTATTATATATGAACAAATTTGACTAAGTATCACTCATATTGATCCAATTCACACTAACATTGTTAATCTCTATCACATTTATCAAATTTATGTAATCCTCATTATGTTATTTATTTTATTCAATCTATAAAAACTTATGTTCTAATATTTCCCCTATCTAATTTTATTTCTGCCTCCTTCAGCTTACAATCGGGCTACTTTAATATTTAAAGGGCATTTTTTTTCTATCCATCATCTCTTATCTTCTTTAATGCTTCAATTCTTATCCATTTTTTAATTCACCATCCCCACTTCTAACCTTTTTTCTATCTTCACCTCTATCTTTTTTGTTCAATCTCAACATTTCTCCCAGTGCAATCTTGTACTGCCAATTCTCCCAGATGTCTGCCTGTGTCTCAGTCTCCTTATCAAAGGTGTCTTCCTGTCTCTCCAATTGTCAATTTGTCTGTTTTATTTTCTTCTATCTTTCTTCCTTTGTCAGCTGATTTATCAATTCTATTTTTTGCTCCAGTCCTTGGTTTATTTGTTGATGTGGCCAATCCATCTGTTCTTTCCACTCCTTTTGCTTACCATTTATCTGGTCTTCCTCTTTGTTGAGCTGTTGCTTCCTTTGATGAATTTTCTGATTCATATTTTTTCTCTGGTCATGTTCCATTTGCTGGCTTGAATTTCCATTTCATCCAATCTTTCTGTTGTTTCCACCAGTTCATGGACAGTTCATCTTTATTCCTTGCTCTTTGCAAAATGTTTTCCATTTTCTGGTCCATACTATCAATTAAGTTCATAATATTTTGAAACAAGAAGGTCATCTCAGTAAGAAATCCTCTCATTTCCACTGCTGTTCCTTCAACTCCAATCATAATAGCGATGAAAGTAGAATAAACAATCATGCCTCAATTGAGTTCAGAGAGTCCAAAATCATAGAAGTATGGTTTATTTTTCAATTGTTAGTAAATGGGGCTCTTGTCTCAAATTTCCATACTGCCTTTTTTTCCAGCAGGTATTTGTTTCACTCAATCTCCATTTTTTTTCAAAACAAGGTCAATTGTTTAAATGAGTCAATTCCAGCATTTACTCAATACTCTGATAATCCAAGGTATTTTCCAAGTTCTTTAAGTCTACTTTTTTATTTTAGCTTCCCAGCATCTCTTTTATAAAATGTATTTCTTATTTCTGCCTCTGGTAAGCATAAGGCAATAAACAGTTAAAAATCACAGCCACCCAATATCAAGTATTTCCTCCACTGTAAATTTCAAGGAGTCACTTTTTCTTTCATCAATAGATGGCGGACTCAACTTACTTTTCAGCATAAATCTCTTTAAAAATATTTTCTTCCACTGCTTAAACAGTTATATTTTAGTGTCTCTTTTATAGGATTGTTTACTTTCTTGGGGTAATTTTTAAAAATTAAAAATTGCATCTCACCCAGCAACAATCTCTGTTCACTGTTCTCTTCGTTCCTGCACTATCTTAGGTGTTCTGGCTGTCCCCAGCTTCATGGCAGCCATGTTGACTGCTGCTGTTCCTTGTCTTTGGATGAGGGAGGTTTTCCAAGTCAAGGAGAGAGATGCTGCTCTCCTCAACCTGCAAGGTACCCCCCTTTACTTCATCACCCCTACAGGGTGGCTATGGCTCTTGTCAGAGCCCTCTGACGGGGAGAGCTCAGAGTGGGGCTGCAGTGCTTGCAGTCCTCACCTCCGATGGTACCAGAAGCACAGCTGGAAGTCCATCAGTTTTTGCTATGTAGTTTCTCCTTTTTTATTTATGCTGTATCAACATAAATTAGAAAGTTAATTTAGTGCAATTTCTCCAGGGGGAACACCTTTCCCTTAGATAGCCATCTTGGAGGCAATATGAAAAATGTTGAAAGCCAAATCAATGCTTCTACTCTACTCTATCCAAGGTCACCAGCACTGAGTGCATGCAGCATGACTATTGACTACAGCAGGGTAAGTTGACTGATGCAAAAATGGATTGGTTTGAGAAATAATTGCTTCCTAGTGGCAAATCTAGAATCTGGGATTATTTGTTTTGCTCCAGTCTTTTCAGTTTTGGACAAAGACATAGTGGAGAAAGCAAATTGAGATTAGCTTGCTAGTCTTAATATATTTGTGTATGTTCCTAAGATTGATTCTGGTTTATTTCTTATGTTCAACAAATCATGCTTAAAGTAAATTCCAAGTAATAATCATGTCTGAACAAATAATGAAAAGTTATTGGCTTGATCTTGAGTGGGGGTTTACTTCTTAGACTGTAACTAGTGTGTTTTCATATGTTAGTTTTCTTATATGTGTGACACATGAAATATGTTGTTTTATGTGAGCAGGATTCTGAATTAAAAAACAACATTGTTATGCCTATCAGTGAAAGTATCCCTGCAGATTTATCAAAAAGGCATTGTAAGAAGAGTTCTAGAACACCTTCTGTGACAATTTCTAGGACATCTTTTACATCTGGTGAGCTTTCAGTTACTGATACTGTGATGTACTTTTGAATTGCTATTACTATCTCTTTCATTGTTTAGCTTGTTTTTCCCTCCCATAATTTTTCCCCTTGGGGAATGTTTGTTTGTTTGTTAGAATTGCTAAGAATTAGCCTTCTACCAGGTCAGGCAATTTTTGTAAGTCCAGATCAGAGATGCAGAACTTCAATTTAGGATTATATTGACAGATGCAATTTGGGTGAGGTCAGGCAGGGAGTTTACATGAGATTTTTTTGTCAGGCAGTCACAGGAGTGAAATATTCCTGCAAACTTTACTGCAAAAAAGAAAGAGAAAGACCATATTTTTGGCTTACCTACTATGTTGTGATTGCAGAAACCATCAAAGGATAATGACCAGTTATACTTTTTGTAATTCTGATCTGGATCCTAGTGCAGTATTGTTTATTTGATAGATCATCTGCTGCCTGATTCTTTTATAATTGAATATGAAGAGGGCTGTGTGGGACCTTCTGCATAAAAATGCACACTTTATTGTAGAACTGTGGTTCTTCCCCTCTAATGAAGAAATCTCTTAAATCAGTGTCTGTCATAATTATTCTTAAAACAAAAGTGAGGTGGTTTTTGTATAAACATCTGTAAATTTTAGCCTTTGCTGATCATTTTTCCCTAAATTTTATTCAACACATTTAAGGGCATAACAATTGGATGAAAGATAGGCCTTTACAGTTGGTTCACTTACTAACAATAGACTAAGACAGAAGTATTAGAGACTCAGCTTGCATAAAATACATTTTCCTTCTACCTGTTTGATTTTCCAAAGACTGAAAAAAAGGAAATCACCATTGAATTTCTTCCTGTAATTTATTTATTTTTGTTCTTGAATTTTATCTTTTCAGTAGGTTTCCGGCAAAGATGAAACTGATGGATAAAAGCAAAACATTGTGGAAAAATAGATAAATAGTCCATCACATACAAATAAATTAAAAGATACTACAATATCTTCTGTCTATGGAGATTCTCAGTCATCCAATCACGTTGTCTCAAAGGTAATTTTTCAAGAGGCAACTGGTTTTTCTATGAAGATGTTTCACTTTTCATCCAAGAAGTTCTGACTGGATGATGGGGGAAATCCTTCCATTCCCCACTATCCAGTCAGAGCTGAAGAATTTCCTTGGATGAGAAGCAAAATGGTCTTCAAAGAAAAACAAGAAAGTCCAGTTATCTCTTGATAAAGCACCTTTGGTACAATATCTTCTATATAGATTGCTACTACATGGCTTTATATTTTGCAGATCGCAGTAGATCAGAGAGATATCTCAGTGGATCCTTTTCAGAAGGAAATGATACTTTAAGCTTAAGAAGTAAATCTGTACCTGGAGCACTGGACCATGATGTGGTGAGCTGGACAAATTAGAGTATTTTGACACTTTTTTGTTTTATCAGTAATAATAAATTTCTCATTTGGCTAATTCCAGTAATTCATATATATGTCACAATTTATATCAAAAGTACATATATAATAAAAATAATAAAAATGTAGTGGGTATAAATGAAGATAACTACAAATGTACTCTTGCAAGAACTTTGTATAACAGTTAGACTGAAATATCATGAGTGGCCCTGAACATCCAATTACAAGGAAGATTGCATTTCCTCATTTAATTTAGATGCAGAATAAAGCAGGATGACATAGTCTGATTCTGCTGAAATCTCTCAAACTTAAGCCCTTGGCCCAACCAGATATCTCAGCCAAGCACAACTGTCAACACCTGCTTTATCTTTTGAAGTGGCAGTTAGCAGCTGCCTAACAGAACACAGTTTAATACAGAATTTTAATACAGAATGAAACTCAATCACTGGCAGCTGCTCCATGTCTAACAACCACAAGAGCAGTTGTGTGGGCTTTCAGTTTTTGCAGACAGAAAGTAGCATTTCTCTTCACTTTTCCATCTTTGCAGAGCTTCAGCTTGGTTTATGAAAGGATCAGCCACACTATGGGACAGTCAGGGGTGGAATTCAAATTTTTAACAACTGGTTCTGTGGGCATGGCTTAATTTGTGGGTGTGGCTTGGTGGTCACATGACTGGGTGGGCATGGTTTCGTGGTCACATGACAGTAGGCATGGCTTGGTGATCGTGTGACTAGGTGGGTGTGGTCGGGTGGCCATGTGACTGGCAAATCAAATACAAGTGGTTCTCGCTTAATGGCTGGTTGCTTAGCAAGTGTTCTAATTTATGTCTGACCTCCCCAGAGCTACTTGACCTGTTTTTGAAGTTTTGACAGCCATGCACACACACACACACTCACACACACACAAACAGACTCCCTTCTAATCCTGCTATTCTATGATTCGGTAAGGATCTCCTGCTGGAGCAGGGGTTTGGACTAGAAGATGACCTCCGAGATCCCTTCCAGGCCAGCCCTAGATTGCTGTGCTATTTTAAAGATTCTTCTGAAGTTAGCTTTGTGTCCTTCCTTCCTCTCCTTTATTTTCTCTCTCCCTCCCTCCCTACTTCCTTTTCTCTCTCCCTCCCTCCTTATCTACCTATCCCTATATCTCATTCAGTTTCTCCTCCCTCCCTCCTTCCCTCCCTCCCTCCCTCTCTTTCTTTCTTTCTTTCTTTCTTTCTTTCTTTCTTTCTTTCTTTCTTTC